TATATCATTATCATGCATTTCTATTCTTTATACTCTTGTTAAAAACTCCCATCAGGCACCAAAAGCCAACAAGATATGAATGGAGTGTCATGAGTAACTTTAGGAGACATGATTACAATCTTTTGCATAGTTCCTTCTGTGTAAGCTCTATTGAACCCAACAATGCTACTTCTAACTATATTGGATAATCTCATTAAATACACTCCACTTTAACAAAAGATCTTCGGTCAGCTGAAAGCCAACCTTTATCTTTTAATTAGGAATGCAAAGGAGTGTCACTTTTAATTAGGAGTGCAAAGGAATGTCACTATTAAACATAATAAATGAAGGTTATTGTGAGGTTTTACTACAGTGTCTTCTTGTTTGATGGTTGATTGTATTGTTGTAATATTTGATAATTTTAATATGTTTATTGTTATTATTATACTATATCCTGTAACCCATCCAGAGAGCCATTTTGGCCAAAGGGGGTGGGAAAGAAAGCTAATAAATAAATAAATAAAACACTGTAACAATTACACTACAAAATGTAAAAGCCACATTTAAAACTAAATTTAAGCAAATAAGTAGTACAAGTTAAGACACAGGACCTCTTAGACAGCTGACATCATGCCCCAATAGTATATTTAATTTACTATTAATTTAATGCCCTTTCAAGAAAGACAGCCTTGACCTGGCTCTAAAAGGACAGCACTGCTGGTACCAGGCACATCTCAGTGGGGAGCTTTTTCCCTAATTGGGGGGCTGCCACTGAGAAGGCTCTCCTCTCATTTTCACCAACTGAGTCTCCCCAGTTGTCTGGGTAGACTGAGGCTGGGAGCAGCATTCCATTGGGCACTGCAGTCTGTGCAAACTCTGTGCAGGAAGGAAGACTAGTTTGCTTGCTTGCTTGCTTGCTTGCTTGCTTGCTTGCTTGCTTGCTTGTTTGCTTGCTTGTTGAAAGCATTTTTATACCGTTCCCTTAGTCAAACAACTCTCGGGACGTTTCACATCACATTAAAGTACTTTAAAATACAACAAAATGTTCTCCCCAGGCTTCTGAGTAATGGTATCACAAGAGCAGGAGAGGGAGGATGGTGAGAGATTTGGAGATTACAGCATATGTGCCAAAATCCCTGTGACATTTGTGACAACAGAAAAGGCAAAGACGGAGCAGAGGCAAATGTCAGTCTGAACAGCAGCAACGGTGACAGCTGTTCACAATTACATTCAATTAGCCACTTTTAAACATTCCTTTAGTAGGACATTCTTTGATGTGTGGGACCAGAACAGGCTGCCTGATTCTCTAAACATTGCTAATAGCATGCTGACTGTACACAGAATGCTAGCAGCAAATTAGTTGGCATGGAAGGAAGTTTAATAACCTCACTGGCTTGAGGACTATGCCAGAATTAATAAAAGGTGAAAAAGGTGCTGTGTTGCAGCACCTTCAGACCAGTAGATGTAGTGCTGGATTTCTTTTCTTTTGTAGACTAGAGCCCTTCTTCAAATGCACAAGGTATCACTTCACAAGGCAGAGTTACCATTGATGACATTTCTGTTTCTTCATTATTTTACTCCACTGTTCGACTAGAAAGTCCCCCAGAGGGTAAGATCAATAAAAACAATAGAATTGCTGCCTTCAGGCTTATACTGCCCTAAGGGAAAGAGGACAGGGGAAGGAGGAGGGGAAAACACAGATTCAAGCACCAGTTCTTAAGTTAAAAAGCTACCCTTACAATGATGAGCTGGAAACAGCTACAGAAGAAGAGGAGCCTCTTGGAGGTGGCATTTCAGCAGTGTTCCCAGAATGGCCCTGCTTCCTATCTCCCTCTGCTGCAGCCTATTGGAATAGCTGCTGCATGGGGAAAGAAAAGAAGTAAAATACGTGTTCAGTGCTAGCACAAGGGATATAAAAGCACATATGAATTCTGTCCCGCTCTGGCATTCTCATCACCCTCCTCATGTTGAGGACAAACTTCACATTAAACTATGTGATTCACTCCCACAAAATAAAGTGATGGCCAGTAATTCTGATAGCTTTGAAAAGGGCATGGACAAATTCCTGGGGGAGAAGGCTATCAGTGGCTACTAGCCCTAATGGCTAACTCTAGTAGGAAGGGTGCTGTTGTATTCATGTCCTTCTTGCTGACACTCTGTGGCCTGTTAGCTAGCCTCTGTCTGGAAAGAATGCTGGTGGGAATGGAGCCCTGGTCTGATCTTCCAAGGCCCTTCTTATGCACTTATCTCCTTAAGTGCTGAATGAGGCAATCCTAAATAAACTTCCCTGGCTTACAGGACCCCTGGAAGCAATACCATGATATAGAAAGGCTACATTCAAAATACTGTGTATATGGGGTTATATCTACTGTTCGTCTAACTGAATTCCATTGGCTCCACACTAAGTAGCAATAACATTGGACACTGCCATATTAGTACGGCTATTGACATGAGTCTCTCCTTTTTATCAAATATTACAAGAGCTGATAGACAAGTGTCTCAAAAATAAGAAGCTTTGTGTGTGTATATTATCCAAGAGCAAACCAAGTATATAGACAGCTGTTATTGTGATATCTATATTGATACATATATAACACAGTTTTTGAAAGAAATTTGTCTGTCTTACTATCTTACTGTATGTGAGCTTAGGCAATAGGTAATTGCCCGACTATGTCCTTATCAGGTGCTTTGCTCTATTTCTTCATTATGTAATGGTCTTGAAAGGAGCACTAGCCCTTTTTCTATCTAGCAGACCTGGCATTCAGATGCATCATGCAGCAAGGAAGGTGGATTATTTGGGACTGGCAGCCACAGGCACCTCTGCACTGGACTTTCATACTTGGACTATTCACTGCTGCTGGTGGCTCAGGGCCCTAGCACGGCACCCTAGCATTTCATGGAAGTGTACCAGTGCAGGAACCATTAAAGGACGGGTGCCAGATAGCGCAGTAGGGCACTGGAGCTGGCTGAGCAGGTGCTGCCCTCCCTCCCTGCTGCCACACCAAAGAAAACATGAATCAGTTGGCATTCACAGTGGATTTCAGCTTATGCCTTGCCCTCTCTCAGTGGATGCTCAGGTGTGCGTGGGCCTCTCTCAATATCTTCAGTAGGACCGCCCCAGCTCCTTAGCCTACAGGCTGATTGCAAGCCCAGCGTAAAACCTAAAGGAACGCTTGCGTCCATATATGCCCTCCCGCCCCTTGAGATCAGCAACAGATACCCTTCTCCAGGAACCCTCTGTGAATGATATTAGGAGGGTGAGTACCTGGAGGAGGGCTTTCTATGCGGTGGCGCCCCACCTATGGAATGCGCTCCCCAGAGAGGTCCGCCTGGTGCCATTGTTATTTGTTTTTCGGCACCAGGCTAAGACCTTTTTATTTAAAACTTATTTTAAGTGTTAATTTATTATGTAGGATTTTAAAAAAAATTTAAGCAGAGATGCACGGGGTTTTAATATTTTTAGTGTATAATTTTTGTATGATTTTGTTTTTGTTTTTGTTGTGAGCCGTCCCGAGGCTTTGTTGTGATGGGGTTGGCATAGAAATGTTTTAAATAAATAAATAAATAAATAAATAAATAAAACCTGCCTAATTGTTCCTCGTGCGGCTGAGTTTAGGGGCGGGGCTTCCTGCCGGGGGCGGGTCTTTATGGAGAGGCTGAAGCCTCGAAGCTTCCTCCCGGACTATTTCACGTGTCTTACCTGTTCTCCCCATTGCATCGACTTTATTCGACCGGCCAACGAGAAAATTTACAAAAGGGGAGCAGAGGACTGCAGCTTAGCAAACCTCGCGGGGAGGCAACGTGGGTGAAACATATCGCAGCTGGGGCAAAGCCGCCGGTGACCTGCCCCTTTGGAAATGATGCGAGCGCTTTGGAATTGGGGGTAGAGAGGGGAGGGGGCGCTTCGGAGTGCCCCGCAGGCGGCTTCCACCAAAGTGTGGTATTGGGTTACATCAGCAAGAAAATGGAAGCCGAAGATGCCGGGCCAACTTCAGAAGCCTTCTCCGTTGCTTGTCCTGTAATACATGATATGTGGGGCGGCTGACTTCAGGCGAGAGATATTTGCTGGATCCTGCAGTGTTGTCTGATGGCTGGCCGGGCGGGGGGCAGAGCAGCGCCGGTGCGTGTGTGCGTGTGTGTGTTTAGGTCCGCGGGCGAATCAGAGGCAGCGGCGGAGGGCGCGTCACCGAGCCCGAACCCTATAAAGGCTTATCGAGCCGCGCGCCTGCCTGGCAAAGAGATCGCAGGGCGCGCGTTTTGGACGGCTGGCGCGCTCCCTCTGCCCCGACGCGATAGCCGCGCTCTGCCTCCCGCGGCAGGAGATCTCCCTTCCTCCTCTCTCTCCATCCTTCCTTCTCTCTCTCATTCTCTCTCTCTCGTTCTCTCTCTCGTCCCCCACCCCCTTTCGTTCCCCGCGGATGTTACAGAGTTACCTGGGGAAGTGGGGCTGAGGCTAGTCGGGCTTGTGGATTCGCCGGAGCCGCCGATCGCCTTTTTGGCGCGACGCACCTTTCCACGTGGATCTATCCGGGCCGCGGAGCTGCCGTCGGAGCCCCCTCTGGCGGAGCCGGAAGGACGCTGCCCCGCTCTGCGCCGGCTGAGTGCCCGCCGCGCAGAACATCCCCGCCTGACTCGGACCCGCCGCTCCACCTGCCTCGTCCGACGCCGACGCCGCCTCTCCCCGGCCCGGCTGGCGTCGCAGGGGCCGCCCGATGTCTCGGCTGGACTCTCCGCCGCTGTCGATGGGGCGTCTTTCTTCGGTCTCCGGCCAGCGACTTCCCGACGGTAGGGTCCCACTGACAGGCGACGCGGCGTGCGGCCAGGCAGGCTTCTTCGGCCGCCTGCCCTGAGCTTTGGAGTGTGGATCGGCCTCTGGGCGTCGGGACGGGGGGAAAGGAACGGAGACGCGGCTGCACCTGCGGGGCCCCTGCTGGGGGAGGGCGCGGAGCGGCGGCGGCGGCAGCTCCCTCCCCCGCTGGATCGCGAACTCGGAGTCTCGGCTGCTTCCCACCCCGCGCGGCTTCAGCCTCGTCGCCCACCCACTTGGAGGATCTCTGCGCCTCGGAGCTGCTTCTGCGTTTCTGGAGCTGGAGAACGCGGGGATTGTGGCGTTCATGTCACCCTCGGGTCTAAAGAGACCAGATAAAAGGTAAAGCGGGAGGGGGACATTTCGTTGGGATAACTCCCTTCCTGGTGGGGCAAGGCGAGGAAGGAAGGACGCTTGAGGCTTAGCAGGGCGGGCGTCTGCCACAACTGAGGAGAGGAGCCGCGAGGCTAAGCTACTCCCAGGGCTGGAGTTTTGGGGTGAGTGCAAACAGTCCATTCCCCCTCCAAAATGCCCCTTCCCCCTCGACGTAAGATATCTGCGTCTGCAACATACAGGCATTTAAAACAGTTGGACTCAAAAAAAGTTCACGGGCGTCAAAGAATTTGGGCAATGGAAACAAAAAGGCAGAAACTCGAAAAAGAATAGGTTTTGTTTCACTTCTACACTTTCCCCTCTCTGCCCAATAACTTTAATGGGGAGCCACACGCCCATTAAACCAATCCTCTTCACCTCTTTGGAAGAAAATTGCTCGTGGAAGTTTGTGGAAAAAAGGTAGGCTGGAGATACTGGAAAACGTCAACCCAAAATTCCTGATCATTGAAAATGGATTAGTTTGACTTTTCGTCTGCATTCTGCCATCAAGGTGATGAGTCTGTCCCAGTAAATAGTGTGAACAATTAAAGAGGTAGCTGCTCCAGATTGAGGCATCTGAGAAATAGGAGTGGTGTGTGTCCTGAAAGGGAGCGCCATTGTGGTGCTACTCTAACAGTGAGGCACAACTGTTTGTTTAAATTCTGGAAGAAATTGGGAGTGCATTTCTGGACCCTAAGCTAGATGTGCATTACTGGGCGTGCACTGATTTAAAGACTTCTGATGTGATCCCATTAGTGTTTAGGTGCAGAACTTGCTGGGGGATGCTGGGAGTTGGTGGGACTTCTTTATTTTTCTTTCTAGATGTGCATAAGGTTAAACACTTAAGCACGGATCTCCACAAGGCAAAGCGGAACATTTTCCCTACAACCTGTCCAACCAAGGGCCCTAGAAAGTCATTCCTCTCAGCAGAGTGTCTAAATGAGGAAAGGGTGCAGATGTAAATGTGTCGATTCCATTCATGTTCCTCTCTTTGTTTTGGATCTGCATTTGGTTCTCCTCCCATTCTGCATTTACAACAACCTTGTGAGGTGGATTAGGCATGCTTGGCCCAAGATGCTCCAATGATCCTCACACACTGAGAGTAGATTGGAACCAAAGACTCCCTTGCCCTTCCCCAGCACTCATTTAATACTCCTAAGGGCTGCACCTAGGTTTTATTTGGATTCAACAGTGGAAGGCAGTGTGCAAGCCTGTGCATGCCTACTCTGAAGTAAAACCCAATGAGTTCAATTGGTTTTTCTTCTGGGTATGCCTGTGAGACTTGCAGCTCAGTTTTTCTTGCACTGTGTTTTTGTTCCTTCAAGAAGTTCTCTAGGAGGTTCTGCACTTAGAGAAACCCAGGGATGGATCCTGGACACATTGGAAATCATGCCTTGAACATGTACAGAGCTCCTGTTCCTCTGCTTCGTATATTCGAGTTTCAAGGGAACCAAAGTAGCCTTTTTTTCTTAGACATTAAGCTCTGGAACAAGTGTGAGCTCAAGGGTCAGGTATGGTGGACCTGTGGGTTATATGCAAGGGAGAATGCAAAACCATTCATTCTGCCAAACAGGTAAACACAAGCCAGTTTAGTCCCTCCAGACCTCTCAGGAGGGCTAGATGCTTTAGCAGGGGCCAAACTTTGTGTCAAAACTTTTCTAGGGTGTTTGAGCCTTTGGCTCAAACTAGCAGTCTTTGATGTAAGGAAAAGGAAGCACACTAAGGAAAGTACACGCCTGTCTCTTGTCTGTCTGTCTGTCTCTCTCTCTCTCGCTTTCTCTCTCTGGTGTTGGTTGATATGTGTCTGTGCACACGGAATGGAAAAAGATGGGTTCCCCCAAGGAGGAACTGCTCTAAGAATCAGTCTGGTTCCCATCTCTCCAGCGCTCTGGAGAACCAGAATTTTATTTGTCCCTTTTTTATACACTGCCTGGGATAGCAAATGCCGAAAGTCTTGTTGAAAGAAGAGACTGAACTAAACCCATGGAAATTGCTCAGTTTGCAAGACATCTGAGCCTGCCCCCGTCCCAATTCTGACACTCTTCTAATGGACAGATAATGATGGGGGACACACTATTCCCTGTTGTAAAATCAGCATGGGGACCCACTCACCTTTCCGCAGAAAGAGCCCTGCTAGGTTTGGCACAAATGCCTATGCAAAAGCAGCTCTTAAGCTTCAGGACCTGAAGGGCATGGCCAGAGGCAGTTGACCTCTGTAACTGACCGGTTTCCTAGAGATTCTGCTTGGGTTTGTAGCAGGGCTGCGGCATACGCTTTTGTGGCAGCTTGCGCGGCCATGGCCAGCTGATCTTGTTTGCAGGGGAAGCGGGGAGAAGGAGCACGATTCTTTTCCGGTGCAAAATGTGGCTTCCTAGGGTGAGGGCAGATCTGGTGCTGGAGCACTTAGGCAAAGACCATCTTACCGGTGGTCACCCTGACAGAGCTGGAAGGACTTGGGCAGTGGGCTTCAGCAAGGGATGTTTAGAGCAAGTGACTGGAGTAGATTCCCTGCCAACTCAGCCTATGATTGACCTTTAAGGGAGGGAAGTGTTAATTGGAGCAGGGGAGAGAGAGGAGGAGGGACCTAAGGAACTTGTGCATATTTACTTGGAAGTAAGCCCTCAAATGCCATGCCAGTGACTCCCTAAAAGCCCTGCATAAAATTGCAGCATTAACCGGATCAACGCTTTAGCTGGAAAGAGAACAATTCACACAAATGAGTGTCTGTAGACAGGAGGGTTCACCTGCTTGAGGTTTTGGAGTCCGGAACCAGTTGAGAGCATCTTTCCCTCTTTCCTGCTGAGAGATTTGCATGTGCAAAAGAGGCTTGCAATAATTTTCTTAGGATTTAAATGGTGGTATCCATGGCGATGATGGGCTGACCGGATTTCCAAAGTTATACCGCGCAGGGATATCCCTCCAGACTGATCTTGGGGTGTGAGGGAGGCCAGCCGCCTGCGGGATGTCACCGAAGGAAGTGGTTTGGTCTCTACTGCCCTCTAGCGACAGGTTCAAAACTGTCACTTTACACAGGTATCCATAGCCCAGATCTTACAACAGGAAGGTACAACTTCTGATCCACCAAGGAGAATGCAGCCGACCTGGCCATGGATTGGTGACCCACCAGGCAGTCTCCAGAAGATGGCTGCATTTGGTGCGGTTGGTCACAGGCCTGTCCTAAGAGCTGGTTAAGGCCATTCCTATCCCAGGGCATTATGAAGCTTTAGGGGAAGGAAGAAATGGTGGTACTTCGTAGCATGTGTTAGTACCCTGTTGCCTTTAGCTGTGGTTGGAGGGAATTCCATTTGGGCTCATTTTCAGGCAGCAAGATATTCAGAGATGGCACTGAGGCCAGTCCATCATGCAGAGCATGTGTAGAGTGTCTTTCAGTCACCACTGAATAATCACCACCAGCTCTTACATACCTGGCATGAAAGGTTTAGGTCAGGTCTTCCGGGCAGGCGTTGACCAGACCCATGCTTCTTGTGTATCCTGCCAGGTCTTGGTCTTGTCCTGAGGGGCTTCTGTTCAGGAGACCTAGTGGTGCTTCTTCATCTTTCCCTCCTTTATGGATGTTTTGTTTTGTTTTTTACTGGTAAGAAAAAAGATGGAAGAAGTGGTGGGAAAATACGGGTAGGTTCTTAACCAAAAACACTGACATCTGGACCTGCTGTAAAAAGTTTGTGCTGGCAATTGCACAATAAAAACAGGCCTAGTAGTTTCCTGTGTCTCTCCCTCTGCCACCTTTGCATTGTTTTGAGAGCTGATCCCTATGAAGAAAATTGGCTCTCAGAAGCATGGGTTTCTGCTCGCACTGAGTGTCTGCTTCCTTAAGCAATGTGGTGTTGGAGGAATTTGTGGAAAGTGTCGTGGCAAGGGAGTGCTGGGAACACAGATACGCTGCCTGTAGAAGCGACAGCCCAGCTCCTTTATACGTTTCTTGAGAATATGGTTGCTTCTGCAGGAAGCTACCACTTAACTTAAGGACATTTACTTGTCATACATCAGAAAATTCCATACTCCAGCACTATTCCAACTGCAATGAAGGCAGTTGACAGTAAACCTCAGATTAAAACAGAACCTGAGCAAAGAATGAAACACAGTTCAAAACACAACAGTGTGCAACTTACTTTACATCTTTCATTTGCTGCCCAGTAGAGCTTTTTAGGGTCATCCAAGGCCTGTTACTTGCTGGTTCCAAGGACATCTTAGACCATCTGAGGCCCACTCTAATATATTGCTGGATACTTCCAGGAAAAAAAAAAATTTGCATCCATCAGGACTTAGATGCCAGGGCTGAAGCAGATTAATCTGTTGAGATACCCAGCCTGGTCCAGCTTTTTGGATGAGTTTCAGAAGGTACAGCTCAATGTTGAAAAGCTGTTTGGCCAGGTTCATGCACCCACCTCTGTAGTGGATCCTTGCTCCTCCTGGCTTATAAAAACCAGCAAGCAAGGAACAACCAGATGGGCCAGGGAGGGGAACCATGCCTCCCTGCAAGAGAGATGTCCCCATACCACGTGAAAGTCGTGGCAGTGAGACCTCTTCTGAAGAATTCCTCCCTCGATCCATTAGAAGTTTGGACAAGTAGGAAACGTTCCTTTCCTGGGCAAGGTTCTTCTGGTGGTTGCCAACCATCTCCAGGACTCTTGAAAGAAAATGATTTCCTGGATTCATTTCAGAAAGGCTTGAGACCTACATTTGGCATGGGAGCAGCCTTGGTCATCCTTCACAAGGGGAGTGTGACCCTGTTGATATTACTGGATCTCTTAGTGGCTTTTGATAGCATCAACCATGCTATCTTCCTGGGGCAGCTCTCTTAGTGGGAGTATATACTGCATTGCAATGGTTCCACTTCTTCTTGGAGGGCCATCTCCATAGGGTGGTGTTGGGGAATGTCCTTCAACCCATAAATTCTCCAGCATGGAGTTCCTCAGGAGGCTGTTCTGTATCCTGTACTGTTTAACATC